CTGCAGATCCCTGCCCAGACTCGTATGCCCATAAATAACAAGGGTCAGTGACGAAAGGGAAAAAAGGGAGCAAAGGTCAGTGACAGAAACAGATCACAGTCTGCATTTATTTTCATTAGCTTGCCTATCCCCTCATTAAACTGAAGCAATGATGCCGACAAACTACTTTCTACCTATTTCATTCGGTTCACAAGAATAATTACTTACTTATGCATAAAATACTGACAGTGTTCCTTCTAGGCTGAGTTAGTATGAACTAGCTCACGGTTTTTTAGCCTCTGGCTCACACATTTTTGTCTTAGTTCAGGAAGGATGGCTCCAGAGCAAACTAATTTATGCAGTAGCCAAATTGCTGGCTCACAACTTTAATGCCAGTAGATCACAAAGTAGAATTTTTGCTCACAAGACTCCACAGCTTAGAGGGAACATTGCTGGAAAAGATCCATACTCATCTTTGATACCAGAAGCACAAACTTTGTGGCATGCAAGACCCTAAGTTTTATTAAAACATGAACTTTCAGAGGCTGCACATAGCCTCTCTCATTAAATACATGAAGGACAGTTATTAACAGGCAAGCATTTGAAAGGAATTATCAGGATGTTTAATGATGGTCATTTCCCCCAGATTGGCTTTTATTTATTTATTTATTTATTATATTTACACCCCGCCCATCCTGCCAACAGGCTCAGGGCGGCTGAAACTGAACAGGATGGTAGATTTCCTTAGCATCCTGATTTAGATTATAACATAATATTCCAACTTGACTTGATGCCATTGCAGAGGCCTTTATAGCAAGCATACGATGTCCTTCTGTTTTCTATTTATAAATTTTCTCTGTACTTTTTATTGTGTACTGTATCAAAAATATTTACTGTGTACCGTAGTAAGTATAGTATAACGTAGGCACCTCTACTTCCCATTGAGGGCATAGTTGAGCTGAAATTTGAAACCAGACTCAAAGGCCCATCTCTAATAATTTTCATATTGAGTAGTATGTTGACATGCTTGCAGTTCCTGTTCTGACTGACCTGGTAGGCACGTAATTGATTAAAGCTTCAACCTAATACAACAAAATAAGACTACACAAAAGCCCTTTAAAAGCAAACCAATTGTTAGACAAAAAATTATAAAGGACATAAGATTTAGGCATACAAAGGCTAGTTTTGAAGGGGTTCTGGGTTCCTCCCCCCCAAGTGGTTTCTATTATATAATTATTTTCTACTGTGCAACATGTGGGCATGCTTTTCCTAGAATGCTTGCATATCAGAGCCATAGATGTGCACACCAATGAGATTTAAAGAAAGACACCCTCCAGTAGTCACAGTCTGCATGGATACTAGGGAAAAAATGGAAGAAAACCACACTAAAAAGTGTGAACCTGATTAGAGATGGGGCACGGAGGTTAGGAGCTTGGGAGTGCTCCTAGATGCCACCTTAACGATGGAGGCCCAAGTAGCAGCCACTGCGAAGTCAGCCTTCTACCACCTACGGCTGATTAGGCAGCTGGTTCCCTTCCTTGAACACAATGATCTGGCAACAGTGATCTATGCAATGGTCACCTCAAGACTGGACTACTATAATGCTCTCTACATGGAGCTGCCCTTGTTCCAAATCCGGAAGCTGCAGCTGGTGCAGAATGTGGTGGCCAGGCTGTTGTTGCATCTCCCCATGTGGGAGCACATTCAGCCTGCACTAAAAGCACTTCACTGGCTGCCTATAGCATACCGGATTCGCTTCAAGGTGCTGGTGCTTACCTTTAAAGCCCTATATGGTTAGGGACCTATCAACCTAAGGGACCGCCTTTTCCCACATGTTCCCCAGAGGGCACTAAGATTGGGGTCCCAAAATCATCCGGCCCTTCCAGGCCCAAAAGAAGTCAGGCTAGCTGTGATAAGGGCCAGGGCCTTCTCAGTGGCGGCCTCATACTGGTGGAATGAGTTCCTGGATAACATCAGGGCCCTGAGGGACCTTTTACAGTTCCGCAGAGTCTGTAAAACAGAGCTCTTCCACCAGGCTTTCGATTAGGGTGCTGCCCTCCCAACAACCATGCCCTGGCCCCAATACCAACAACACCTTAAAAATGTGATCAATAGCCTGACAAAACCCAGACTACAGTGGTAGTTGATCACATGGATGCTGTGAATGCCGCCATCGGCTATGAATTACACTAGCACTTTATTATATGTTTTATTCTGTTTTGATTGTGATTTTATTTAAATATGGTGTTTTAACTGTTTTAACAAATTGTCTGTAAGTCGCCCTGAGCCTGCCTTGGCGGGGAGGGCGAGGTACAAATTAGAGGAATAATAAATAAATAATAAAATATCCAATTACATTTAATATAGTTCTTACATTATTTCTAAGTTGTCTTTTTGGTAGGAAGACTGCTTGATCTTGATAGATTATTTGTATTAATACTCTTTTCAGTCTTGCAGTAAAAATAGAGGCATAAATTTTATAGTCCACATTTAGTAATGAAATTGGCCTATAGTTTTTAATTTCTTTCTTATCTGTGTTTTGTTTATGTATCAGGGTTATTAAGGCTTCATTCCAAGTTTCTGGTATTTTATATTCAGTTATTATATTTTGTATTACATGCTTTAAAGGTGTTATCAGTTGATCCTCAAAGACATGGTAAAATTCTGCCGGAAGGCCGTCAAGGACCTGGGGTCTTCCCTTTTAGAAGCATCTGATAGTGTTTTCATCCATTTCAATTTTCTCTGATAGCAAAAAATTCCAACAACTAGTTCCAGATATCTATCTGGCCCTTCTCAAATGAGCTATTGTTTGTTTAAATTACACCTACACATGATTGATCTAGCTAGTGCTATTTGTAGATCATAACTGTTTTTTCTTCTTCCTTTTCTATTACTGTTCATTTGGCCAAGTAACTGCTTTTTTCAAAAACGATGCATATCTGGTCATCAATCTAGCTACCTATGTTACAGCCTACCTAAACAAGGTTATCCAGAAGCAATGAAACATATTTATCCAAGTGAGGCAGAAAAAATGGGAGGGAGCAGAGGAGATATTACATAATCATTTCAATAAGTTTCTTCTTTCTTCAAAAGTAAAAAAGAATGAAGCATCATTGGAACTTGGTGCTTCTGCTGTTAGCAGGTAAAAACATTTCTACCTTAATTTTGTCCTACAACTACAGTATAGCAGTGTTCACACGCATGAGATAATGCAGGGGGGGCGAGCGAGACTATTTTCTCCGCAGTAATTTGACCAGCATTTACGCGATCACACAGTCTCTGGGAGCTGCAGGGGCAGCCCGCTACTGTGTGATCAGACGCAACCACGGGTGAGTTGGGGGGGGTTACTGTGTATTTCCGGTGCGCTTCAATGAGGGATCAATGATTCGCATCTCCACACCAAGTGCTCCCAATGCAGTGTGTGATGATGCTTATACTGAAATGGGGGAAAAAACAACGACATAGAGTCGGGATGGCCCGATCAGACCATTCCAACGTCATGGAAGTGCGCTGGTGCAATCATACTGGGGAAAGTCCATGGAAGTGCGCTGGTGCAATCACACTGGGGAAAGTCCAGGTTTTCCCTGGTGTCTTTTTACTCTGCTTCTGCAGTGGAGCAAAACGGGAGCAGGACGCTTGGCAGATGTTGCCGTCTGATCGCGTCCTTAAAATCTGCCCAGCATTGGCGCCCATGGTGCGGCTAATTCTGTGTGTGATTGTGCCCTGTATTGCTTTTCAAGCCCAATACAGTGAACTCTCACTTAGATGACAAGTGAATCTAGAATCACAACATTCCTATAAATAGTAAATAGCTCCACATTTTCTGTATAGTTTTGGTGACTACTGGAAAATAGAATAAAACCAAAATGCAAATATTTGGGGCATTTTTGGCCATGCATTGTGTAAATTATGTGGTTTATTCATGTTCAGAGTGCATTGGGTGGGAATAAAAGAGTGTGGAGGATGTCCTTACCTTTTCCTCAAAATCACTAAGACTGCTACTGCTCCTCTCCCCCTCCTACTCCTAACCAGCTTTGGGACATCACATTGCTTCTCAGCACCTCCTCCTAGCCTCACTTGGCTAAGCTTCAAAACCCTGTCCTGCATCTTTCTACCCTTTTCCCTTCCATCCACTGCTTCAAGCTTTGTTCTTCTCTCCCCAATCCACAACACCTCTTCTCTGCTTCCTCTTCTCTTCTTTCAGGGACCCAATACATAAATCCATGTATGGGTTCTCTGTGGACACATCTAGCTTAATGAGACCATTTCAGTAAGGAATTATTTACATTGCTTTCCAATGCTTGTGTGACTGTGATTTTATTTCACTCCATTTTAAAATTTGCTTTCCCCTCTTGTTTGTTACTGTATCCAACAGAGACTGATTTAATTGCGCTGGAGTCTTCTCCCTTTCTCTAATTTTCTCATTTTCTCAAACTATCATAGCGAGTGATACTGGATCTCCCTGGATCCAACACCAGGATTGAGAAGTACACATATAAGAAGAGAGAGAAGAAGAGATTGGATTTATACCCCACCTTCACTACCCAAAGGAGTCTCAGAGTGGCTTACAGTCCCTTTTCCCTCTCCTCCCCACAACGGACACCCTGTGAGGTAGGTGGGACTGAGAGAACTCTCTTGAGAACTGCCCTTGAGAGAACAGCTCTGAAAGAATGTGTAATTGGCCCAAGGTCACATCAGCACCTGCATGTGGAGGAGTGGGGAAACAAATCCGGTTCTCCTAGAGTAAAGTCTGTGCTTTTAACCACTACAACAAACTGGCTCTCTAAAGGTCACACACATGTATCCCTGGTAAGAACACAATGCAAGCTACATGAAATCCCACAAATATGTATAAGCAGTTTAAAAGTATTTTATCTTCATACAACAGTCATGGCTTAGAAGCATCTACAATTTTTCTGTTCTGAAACAAAGAATATTAGGACAACAAAAACAAATTTTTTTCAAATTATAATCAGAATATGCAGACATTTCTCCTTTTTAAGAATATTTCTTAGACTTACAGTCCTCTCTAGGTTTTTCAGCTGCTGATCAATCTCTTTGAGCCGGTTTTGTTGATTACGCTCTTCTTTAGTGTCTCTTAAAACCTTTTCACCTGGAACAGTTTCCAGCTCTCTGTTTGCATAAGCCAGAGACTCCTAACAAAAACAAATAATAGAATCACTGAATTGTAGAGCTGAAAAAGAAAGGAAGACCATCTAGACCAATCCCCTTCCACTGAAGCAGAGTCCTTCATACACAAAACTGCCCTTCCAGCTTAGTCTCTATCATCAACAGAAAATAGTGGTAGTGATTGTTGGGCTAAGGAGCATGTATAGGAAATCTCCACCAGCTGGGTTCAAGCAAAGGAGTTCTGCTATAAATTATTGAGAAAAGGGGTAAACGTCCCTGGTTACCATCTAATCTACAGTGTTGGAAAATTAGTTTCCAACTCCAAATATAGGAAATAGGCTTTGAGCATAAAAGGCAGAACACCAGAGCAGGAGTTATGTTAGTGTGCTACAGTCAAAACAACAAAGGCTGATTTCGCACTAGAGCTGCCTCGATGTTGCGCCGCTGTTTGCCCCAATACTATTGGTCAATTTCACACCTGAAGCCGCGGGTCAAAATGCAGCCCCACGGCTTCGGGTGTGTAATTGACCAATAGTATCGGGGCAAACGGCAGCGCAACATTGAGGCAGCTCTAGTGCGAAATCAGCCAAAGTGCCTTGTGATATCTTAAAGACCATTGAATTTATTGTGATGTAAACTTTTGAGTCTGCTCTGAGTCACAAAAATTCACATCACAAGAAATTCAATAGTTTTGAAGGTGCCACAAAACAGTTTAGCAAGAAAGTGAAATGTCTCCAGTCTCTAAGAGAAAAATATGGTAAATCCAACTGCTGCAAGAGAAATGTCATTTGAATATGCATAGAAAAGTAAACAATATTGTTCCGTTTCAAATGCATGTTATACTAAGTTGTGGGAGGAGAAACAGATCTGTGAAGATTAATTATCCTATGGTTTTAGTCGAGCAAGTAGGTATTAGGAGAGCTGCAGACCAATGTTCCCTCTAAGCCATGGAGTCTTGTGAGCAAATATTCTACTTTGTGAACTCCTGGCATTAAAGTTGTGAGCGAGCGATTTGGCTACTGTATAAATTAGTTTGCTCTGGAGCCATCCTTCCTGAGCAAAGACAAAAAATTGTAAACTGGAGGCTAAAAAAACTGTGAGGTAGCTCACACTAACTCATCTTAGAGGGAACACTGCTGCAGACTCCAGCCCAAAGATTATATAGAAGCCTCCATAAATTATAAAAATTGTGAGTATTTCTGTAATTTTTTATAATTTATTCTGAGTTTACTATGTAAAGCCAAGAAGCCTGACTGCCTACCAAACAAAATCTTACTCACTAACTTATCTGGCTTCTGAAATAGCACTGGACATTGTTCACATGCTTTCAAGCATAAGGGTTAATTACCTGCGTATTTTAAATAAAGGATGGATTTCTTAGGAAAATGAAATCGACACCCAATACCAAAGTACTGTATCTGCCATCAATATGCGAGTACCGTAAAAAACAAAATCAGTCTAAGACCTACCTTAGCTAAAAATAAGACCTACCTTAGCTAAAAAGCCAGTGTGGTATAGTGATTAGAATGTCAGACTAGGATTGGGGTTCAAATTCATTCTTGGCCTGGAAGCTCACTGGTTGACTTTGAGTAATTTTCATTCTCCGTCAGTCTAAGCCATGGGTGTCAAACTCATTTGTTATGAGGGCGGGATTTGACATAAATTAGACCTTGCTGGGCTGGGCCATGTGTGTCATAAAATGTAATGCCAGGTAGTGGAGATATAAACTTTATAAAGGACACAAACACAAAGGGCTTTTTTTACTTAAAGTAAAAACATGCTTAAAACATTAGCACTCTTGCAATATTTTGTTTATTTAACAGGGTCTGATAACTGACACCTCTTGCTCTGAATTACTGCATCAAAATGTTTGTGCTGTTGCAATCTTGAATATGCTGCTCAGTTGTGTATCTGTAAGCTGCAAACCTATGATGATACAGCAGCAGCAGAACTGGAAGAAGCAGCAGAAGACAGCCAGTTCCACTGCGGGCCTGATAGAAGCCCTCCGGGGGCCTGATGCGGCCCCTGGGCCACATGTTTGACACCCCCAGTCTAAGCCACCTCACTAGGTTGGTTATTTAGCATTTTCACCCCATTTTTTCTCTCCAATGGAGACCAAAATGGCTTACAAAATGCCAAAATACAATTTTGAATAAACAAAGTAAGGAACAGACAAAAAAAGATGATGCAGAATAAAAGAAATGTATGTGTTCTAAACAAATTCCGGAATGGTAACCACATCAGATGGCAAAAGTCCCTTTCTTTCCTTTGCCAGTGTTTGGGCAATAAAGACTCCAGGCAAGCTGGCCCAACCTGATGCTGATCAGATCTCTTTGGACACTGTCTCCCAACTAGGAGGGTGACATGGTAAGAGCTGAAGCCCAAGAGCCCTTTAGTTTTTCCCAGATCTCATGCCCTTGGGCAGCCTGAGGCTTTAAAGGTACCCGCAAAAGAAAGGGTGGGACAGATGCTAATCCATAGGTCTCAATTGCAGGCTAGGTGTTCCAGCCCCACTCCCTTCCTCTCTTCACATCTTTTGAGGATAAAACAGAGGACAAAGAATGTTCTAGGCTGCCCTGAGGTATTTTGAATAAGGGTAGGATTAGACTATTAGAGGTAAAAATTTAAATTCTTACATAAAGTGTCTTTCATGTAGGAAGTTTGGAACACGGGAAGCAGCCTATAGACTTGCTACAGTGTAAATCTCATATCCAGCACCTTCATACAAAAATTACTATTGTACATTGCTGGTCAACTTTTATGGAAAAGCATATAAAACACTAGTCAAAAGTTTACTTCAATAACCTTCCTGGCACTTTTTTAGTGTCTGTTCCATAATCTCCATGCAAAGCACCCACTATTCAAAATTGAATGCACAGCCTGAGAAATAGATTTTTTTTTCCTGTTCCGCTATCAGGACTAGAAAAGGGAACAAGGGTCAATGCTAAAAGAAGAAAATAAAAGAACTATTCATCACAGAAAGGAAAGTTTCTACAATATTCAGCTTCATAATATCCACCCGTCTCACTTGCTGCTATGACATCTTTACATCCTGAGCCTAAAGCAACTCAGTTAATATTTGGCAAATATGAACAATCAAAGGTTATGTCTAGCTGAACATAAAAGACTGGATGTCTTTTTTAGACTGCCAAAATAAAGCCATCCAGATTTTAATTAAAGCCACATATTTATGACATAAAGCCCACTTCTGAATACTGTGCAGTTTAAGCTAAAATATCCATTGTAATTTACTTGGTTTAATGAACATCAGAATAGACGCTGCTGGTGACCTTTTCTTGTACTTGTGGGTTTCCCCAACAGGTCAAAGAGCTGCCCCCCCCAAAAAAAAGGGGGTGAAGGGTTTTATCCACAAGTACCACAGTAGCAGTCTCAATGTGGTACCACACATGTGGGAACTGAGAACCTGCAATTCACATTTGACTGTTACATAGAACATAAAGTCAGGGCCTTGCATGCATAATATGTAAAGTCGTTAGGAGAATAAAACAGGGAACGGTCTCAAAGGAAGGACGAATGAGACAGTTATGCAAAATAGATCATTATTTCCATATTATGCTCTCTGAACAAGCTGCATAGGGCAATTTGGCTTTTTTAAAAAAAAATAAAAGCACAATAGCACTGTTGTGAAATATAAAAACAAGAGGCTATAAAATAAAAACAAGAGATTGATTTTTGTTTTGTTAGCATCCATGGACTCAAGATTACTTCTGCTAGCAAAATACACAGGCACCAGTGGAACAGAATGCCAGGATATATGCATGCTATTACACTATTGCACTGCTAAGTCTTGCACAATGGAAAGAAAAAAGCCCTCCTCTTTAAAAATAAATTCACCAGCCTCCACCCACCTGTACCTTTTTTCTTACCCCTCTTTTCTTCCTTGGGGTAATCCTTTCTGGATAATCAGACCTGCTACTGTAGCTCAGACCCACTTCCTCTATAGCCAGTTGGGCAACCAACCACCCTTTTTTGGAAATACCTTCTACAAAGAAGACTTACTGTACCAAACATGCATGTGCCCATAATTTCCCTTCATGTCTATGAATGATTTAAAAGGGAAATTTGAAAGCTCCTAATATTATGAACATACAGCACACTTTCACTAAAGCAATGAGTGTAACACCTCTGCAATATCTGTGCGTTTTTGGCAGGCTATCAACTGAAAAAAAGAAAAGGGAAAGGAAATGTATGTTTTGGGTGTACAAAACTAGCCATTAGAAAGGAAAATCCTGATTATACAGATGCACGATTGTAATCTAGTTTTGATGTACAGTCTACAATTTTCTCTTTTAGAGGAAGAAAACTTTCATCTTTATTGATGCTACTCTGCCAAGCCAGAAAATGACATATTTATTCCATTCATCCAAGCCTTTTTTTGTTGTGCCTCTTTTGCAGAAATATCACATTTTCCCTCACTGGATGCACTACCCCAAGGCAATGCACCTGTTGGCACTGAAACTGTTAAGTACGAATATCACAGGAATCTATTGGATATTTCCAATGATATAGTTCGCAACCACAGAGTCACTGTTTCCGCTGTATGCCCATGCCATTTTTGTTTTCATTTGTTTGTTTAATTCTACTTCATGCACTTTTCAGCGATGCAACCCCAACATGACAGGACTCATTTAGTGCATATTTTACAAGAAAGGTCCAGGAGAAGCAGGACTCACTTGCCCAGCCCTGTCTGCTCTTTGAAAGAAACATTTATATACATATTTATTTGTTTCCTGGTTATGCTGATCCAGCCCCTTTAAAAACAAATAAACCATAAACAGCAACTTGGCTAGTTCCGCTCCTTGATTCCTTCCCACCTATGATGCACAGACAGGATATAATTCTATTAGTGCTTGACACATTTGTTGGAGTACCACCCTAAACCAACTAAATAAAGTGCCTCACTGGCATCTTACACTACCAGCTGGAAGTATTAAGGCTTCAAAAAAGAGGTGGCATTGGTTCTATGCAGACCTGTTCATATTTATTACAGTGCTAGCCATATGAC